ACATCCTAAGAAACTAGTGCAATTGGAGTTGGAATATATTGCACATATGTTCTGATACTTTAATATCAACTGTGAGTGCCTTGTCTAAAATAATAGAAGCAGCACTGGTGAGGCGATAGTGCCAAAACAGGAAATGTTAAGAAAAAAAATCTCAAGATAGAAAAGCTTACTCTCTTTCCAACCCCTATACACTCTTGGCTATGTCTAGACTGGCCAGTTTTTCCGGAAAATCAGCCGCTTTTCCGGAAAAACTTGCCAGCTGTCTACACTGGCCGCTTGAATTTCCACAAAAGCACTGACTTCCTACTGTAAGAAATCAGTGCTTCTTGCGGAAATAATATTCTGCTCACGTTCGGGCAAAAGTCCCTTTTGCACAAAAGCTTTTGCGCAAAAGGGCCAGTGTAGACAGCTCAGATTTGTTTTCTGCAAAAAAGCCCTGATCGCGAAAATGGCGATCGGGGCTTTTTTGTGGAAAAGCTCGTCTAGATTGGCACAGACGCTTTTCCGCAAAAAGTGCTTATGCGGAAAAGCGTTCGTGCCAATCTAGACGCTCTGTTCCGAAAATGCTTTTCACGGAAAACTTTTCCATTAAAAGCATTTCCAGAAAATCATGCCAATCTAGACGCAGCCTCTTCTGTGTGCTATGTATATAAGGAGCAACTACAAACTGAACCTCTCTAATCTGGCATTTTCTGATCCGGCAACATCTGTGGTTTGGTATGATTTTAGTTAGTGATATGTTCACTTATAATGGGTGTTACCAAGTTTCCCACAATCCCATAAAGTTTGTTTATAGCCACCAGTCTTGGCTCTCAGTATTCTGTGTTGTTGTTTAAGTTTAATTTATCCCTATATGTCTTCTAAGAGCCCAGTAAGCAGTAAGGATGTTAGCATGTAGTTGATTATATTCAGTTAATTCTAATGACCACACGCTTACACACACACACACACATCCCGTTGATGCCTCTGTATCAGAGGCAGCCACGATGGGCAGGTGGGAACCCATACTCACGGGGAGCTGGCCTTTAAGCTGTCTCCCCATGCATGCTGGCTCCTGTGAAGCCACCTGCCCCCCTATACTGCCTCCCAAAGAGGCGAGAAAGGCAGGAGTCTGTGCTCAAGACTGGCTTAAAAGCCGACTTCCCACAAGAACTGGCTCCTGTGGAGCCGCTTGGGCCCCGCCCCCTCCATATTGCTGCGTCTATGGGAGGCAGCAAGAGGGGGAACAGGGGACTCTGTGGAGCCAGCACAAACAGAGCCGGCTTCCAAGCTGGCTTCCTGCACCTATTGACTTATGCCAAGCCTCCCTTCCCTCCCCCACCCCATCCCGTCCCCATCTGCTGTCTGCCATGGAGGCAACAGCACGGAGTGGGCAGGGGAGGGCAGGAACCGGCTCATGTAGGGAGCTGGCTTTTAAGTCAGCTCTCTGCATGTGCCAGCTTCCACTGAACTGCCTGACTCCTCCTTCCCACCTCTCACAGAGGCAGCAGTGTGGTGGGGGGAAGGGAGCAGGATGGGATCCAGTGCTTGTGGGGGGGGGGGGGGCCGGAGTGTTTGCCCATCCCACCACTGATAGAGAGGCAGCAGCACAAGGTTACATGTTTCTAGCGGTTACACGTTTACACAAATAGTTAACATCCCTAGTAAATGGTAAAAGTGTTGCTAGGCAATACTGACTTCCCACGGTCTGGCAAATTCTCTGGTTTGGCACCGATCCAGTCCTGAGGGTGCTGGATTAGAGAGATTCAACCTGTAGTAGCATCACTGTTAGCTTGAAGTTAAGCTTTACACGTGCTTATTGTAATATTTTTACATGAACAGAACTAGACAATTTTCACACAGTTCACCTGCTTTTATGAAGTATGCACTAACATCTAAGAAGAGTCCCCATGAAGAAATCATTGAATCTTTGCAGGTTAGTCAAACTGCCTCTTGTTGTGGTATCTCTCTCTCTTGGTGGGAACAGACCAAATTCTCTTCATGATGTATTACATTAACCTAAACTATGAAGTAATGTAAGAATGTGATATCACTGGCTAATCAAATTCTCCCTCTAATGTGGGGTGGGAGAAAGCTAGTAGATTGTAGCCAAAGATCCAAATGTCAAATCGATCTTTGACATATCTTTGATATATCACTACATCATTGGCTGGGGTAGGGAGGGCGGGAGAGGGGAAGGCATATGAAGAAAGGTAATGCAACAGCATGAACAATAATAGTTCAAGGAGTAAAATTTTTGACCAGTGACACCAGACCAAATTCCTGGGGGGTCTTTAATATTCATTAGACCATAAGAACCTAGGTTTATAAGGATTTTCCTGAGAGACCAAAGCAAGTCAAATGCTGATGTGTAGCTGACGTTAAATGTCACAACAATCATTTATCTACTTCAGTAAGGTAAAAGGCTCAGATGACCCTATTGGGATTTGATCCTGTAGTTTTAGAGGAGCAGGTATTTTTCAAATCTAGTACATTGTGGTCTTCTTTCAGATTCAATCATTGGGAGATATTAATGATCCTCATAGAGCTAAATCAATGTGATTTTTTTTTTGTAATTTTGCCTAGATTATGTTAATTTACAAGGGTACACTAATGGCCTGATCCTGCAAAGTGCTGAGCACTTCTTAAGGGATGCTTTAATTTTCTGTTGATTTTAGTGAGAATTCAAGGCACACATCATCTCATAGCTGGGGTTAGACATTGTGACCGGGCTGAGATCTGATTAAATGCAGAGACAGTTTACAGGATGCTCAGATTTAAACACAAAAATCTCACTGGTTTTGTGTTGCCAATTCTCATAATATTATCAGTAGTCTTACTATATTTAGTATTTTTCTTCAAGCCTCAACTCCAGGAATTCTGAGACTAGACAAGACTATACACTTTCACTGGATGGGAGAAAAGTTTGAAATCATGAACCCTAAAGGCTCAAAGGCCAGGAACAAAAAAGAAGATTAATATTTTATTGTGTTTTGAAGTGATTTGGGGAAAGCCTGACTAATGATTTTTGAATATTAGGAGTTGGCATTACTGGGACTTGCAGGTTTATTTCAGCAATTCTGATTTAATTAAAATAAGATAAACTTGGCAGAAGTCTCTGGCTGTGTTCCTGCCATGGAGCTTTATAATCAGTTTGTTTTCTAACAGAAAAAAATGTATACACCAACAAACATGGATATTCTTCTGCTGGCCCAGAACTTCCTTCTTATCTTCTGGACAGCAAAATCCTTTCTCCCTATGCAACATGAGTAACCTAGCAGCTCGCAAATTACCAAGACTGACTAGCTGTGTTTAGTCAAAGTTTGCTCCAAGCTGGGAGTGTTTCTTTGGGCCTACTATGGATGGACACCAGTAGTGCAACAAGGTGTGTGAAGGCTGTGGGAGCACAAATATTGGATGCTGGGGAGGCACAAAGAGGGGTGTTGTGGACTCTGTCAAATACCTTGATGTAGTCCCTCAGGTATGTCTACACAGCAGCATTATTTTGGACTAACGTTATTCCAAAATAACAAAATGCATGTCTACACTACAAGCCTTTATTTCAAAATAATGTCGAGCTGGAGGACTTCTTACTTTGACACATGATAACTCTCATTTCACAAGAGGTAAGGGAAGTTGAAGGAAGAGTGTTCTTCCTTCGACTTCCTGCTGTGTAGACAGCACCAAAAGCTGAATCAAGCTATTTTGACTTTAGCTACACAATTGACATAGTTGAAGCTGCATAGCTTAATTCGACTTTTGCCCTTCTGTGTAGACGTGCCATCAGTGAATATGATTCATTCTTTCTAAAATACCATTACTGAACATACACATCCCTCTGATGGGCAGCTGTAGTTCCATTAGAGAAAAATTAATAAATATTGTAATGTTTTTATAGAACATCAAATAATGTTTGCAAAGTATTGGTCACTTTTCCTTGATACATCATGATTTTGCTGTCTTCTATACCTCCCTAATGTTAATGGTTAATGTATTTTTATTATAGTAACTGTAGTTTTTAATATAGCAACCATTGTAAAAACAAGACTGGGTTAGGATGTGAGCCAGCACTTTTCATATGAATCCCATGCTACTGCATCACTAGATCTTTAGTATACATAAATAATTAGCATTCTTTTTTCAGAGTAGTTGGCGATCCTGATAGAAAACCACTCTAATTTCTTAAAACTTTCTATGGCAGTTCTTCTATGTAATGTTTTAATATTAACATATAAAAGATGCTTTTCTGCTGCCTGTCTGGATTATGAATCTTACATCTGAAGGATGCAATTTATTATCAATATATGAAGTGGATTGCTATTGCTTCTGCAGTTTATTATAGCCATATCCATTATTTTCTTAAAAAAAAAAAAAAAAAAAAGCCCTCCTGCACCCTTTCTGTGATACAAGCAATACAGCTAACTGAAGAGTTGGCTGGAAAGTATGATAGCGTACCCTGCTATTATAAATCTAGTGAGCTCACCTTTAAATGTCTGTCTTGCTGTCTTTAGTCTCCCCTTTGGGCATTGTTCCAGCCACTCTTTGGCCTTTTTTATTTTAAAGAAAAATCCTATCCATATGGTCAAAGGACAGACATATGTTTGCCCTCAGATTCAATGAATGTATGCTTTTTCTATATATTATACAAGACTGCCTTTGTGCAAGGAAATAGGGATGTAAAAGTTTCAACTGTAAATGGTAAATTACTAACCCAGCTGCCTTAAACAATAAAGGGCCTTGTTGGAAAATACAATTCATCTAAATATGCATACCATGTTTCACATGGATGGTAAAACTCTTTGAGACATCAGCATTATTTGACCTATAAAATAATTCAAACCATGTAACTGAGTGTACAAACTCCACAATGAAGAGCAAAGAGATAAGGAGCAGCTCTGGGCCCAGCTGGTCCCACACAACACAACTACAAAGCCTACACAAGCTGGCAGTGGGGCTTACAAGGGGACGCAGAGGAGCTCAGAAGGAGACAAGGAGTGGAAGGGACTAGACTGCTGTTCTGAGGGAAATTCTGTCTACAATCTGACTGTCTGAGACCTGACAACACAGACCTAAGCAAATCTAGCAAGGAGAGGCAGGTGAGAGACTTTATTTGAGAGTCTTTGATTTTTTTACTCTGTGAGGAAAAGGAGACTTGGGTAGAAAGTGGCCAAAGAGAGTGGTTGCTTAGCACTCCAAGATGTAGAGTAGCTTCCCACTAATGGCCTTGGGCCAGAGACTGCTGGACCTGGGATCCTTATGGTCTCTACGAAGACATGACAACACACCTGTTGAGGAAGACCCTGACCATTCATGGGCTCAGACTCCCAAACTCTCAATGTTATTTGGAAGAACAGAAACCCTTAGGCACAGGACTGTATTTGCAACAGGGAGATGACCTGCCACATGCCTGCCTATTTAATAGGCAGCTCTGTTGGTGGTTCACCTTCTACAAACCATTACTATGCAGAGGCTATAGTCCATTGTAAGGATGTCACCAGCTCCATTATTAGGAAGCACTAATTTTACTTAGACATATCTCTGCCTTAAACTAACCTGGCTGCAAAATTGCTAGCTTTTCTCTAAAGGCAAAGCAGAAAGTATATGCAAAATCTGAAGAAAATTGGCCCACATTTTTTCAGTTACAAATGATTTAAAATATTACCATTATTCTAAATGTTGCCATTTCCCTTTTAACTCAAAAATACATTACTCCTTCAATCTTTCCATAAGAATATACAACTAGATTTGAAAACAAAATCGTAATTAAGCAAAGGGTATTAAATTTTGTGATGGTTTGGAGTCTAATCTTGCTTTCATTGATGTCAGTAGAAGTTCTGTCCACTCTTTTCACCGGGAATAGGATCTGAAATTGTATGCGTAAGCATGTTTGGCCCGGTTTTGTAAAGGGACTTATGGATTGTGATACTGAATGTTACAACACCTAACTTCTAGGCACCTTGAAAATCACTGAATCCACAAAGCCTGAATTAGGCTCCTAGGCTCCCTATATGCTACATGGGGAGAGACAGACGCCTGAGAATGGCACCTACAAATTGAGCCCTGCATGGATACAAATGTTTACCCATGGTTGCAAATATCCATGTACAATATAGAAATCAGTATCCTCTGATACACAGGGCTCTACTCCCAGGAAATGCTACAAGTCAAAGGATACAAGCATGGTGCTACTGTTCCCAGGAATCAGTGCCTTGTGCAGGCAGCTCTTCCCAGCCATGCGGCTGTACGGCCCTGGCCCCATCCCTAGCTGGGTCTACTATCTGAGATCATAAAGCCCCACTGGCAGTAGGGCTGAGGGCATTTGTATCTATTCCAGGGCTCTATCTACAAAAGCCAAAGCTAGATGAAGAGCTGTCTAAACTAGCCAGTGGTGAGGGTTGTGTCCTAAGCTCTACCCCTTATATGAAATTTGATGTGGCTATCTTTGCTTGTGATCCACAGCTGCAAACCTTTCTCCTGGAGTTGGGCAGCTTAGGACCCCAACATTTTCTTGGAAGACTGCCTTAGGTGCCTGCCTAGCCACACAGGGTGTAGAGAGGTAGCAGCCTGTGGGAGATTTCAGTTCAAATCTCCTCTGCCTGATGCGGAGAAGGGATTTGAACAAAGATTTCTCACCTCTCAAGTGAGGGTACGTCTAGACTACAGGCTTTTGTCGACAGAAGCTTTGTCAACAGATACTGTCGACAAAGCTTCTGTCGACAAAGAGCGTCTAGACTACATTCAGTTCTGTCGACAAAGCAAGCTGCTTTGTCGACAAAACCCTGTAGTCTAGACACAACCCTAGATGCAATAGCACCTTCTGTCAACAGAACTCTGTCGACAAAAGGCGTTATGCCTCGTAAAATGAGGTTTACCAGCGTCGACAAAACTGCTGAGTTCGGTCGACATTATGTCAACAACTCAGCGGTAGTGTAGACGCAGGTATAGTTTTGTCGACAAAAGTCCACTTTTGTCGACAAAACTCTGTAGTCTAGACACACCCTGAGTGCCCTAACTAATAGCCTGTGATATATTCTGCTGTAGGGCTCTGTCTCTCATTGAAGCTGTTCCACTTTTTATCAAATATCATTTATGCCACAGTGTGCATGAGTGGTCCTATAGCCTAGTGGTTGGCACACTCTCCTGGAATGTGGAAAACTCCTGTTAAAATCCCTTCTCATCAGGCAGAAATTGAATTAGAGTTTTCCACATTCCAGGTGAGTGCCCTAACCAGTGGGCTAAAGGTTACAATAGAAGTCTGCCCCTTCTCTGGCTACTTTGGTTATGTCTACACTACAGACATAAAAACGTCACCTACGTCCACACTGCAATCGTGTTCTTTCTGAAAAAAAATTGAAAGAACAGAGGGGTTTTTCCAACATGGTAAACCTCTTTCTATGAGGAAGAAGCCTTTTTGCAAAAGAGCTCTTTTGGAAAAAGGTGTGTGTGAAGAGGGAGTTCTTTTGAAAGAAGAGGAAAGAGGAAAAAGCAGAAGTGCCCTGGTGGCCACTCCATCCATAGTAATCACTGCTGAAATACAAGATCGCATCCATTCAACGTCTGTCTTTCGAAAAAGCAGATCGCTTTTTCAATGCGCTTTGGCAGTCGGGATGCTCTCTTTCGGAAGAAGTTTTTTCAGAAGATCTCTTCTGGAAAAGCTTCTTCTGAAAGAAACCTTGCAGTCTAGATGTCGCCTTTGTGTGACGTTAAATATACTTAGCATATACCTACCAGAGTGGGTACTGCAGGTAAGATAAGCATTGTTCTACTCATCTTCACCTAGTGTGGGGATCATGTTGGGTCTTAGAAGTAAGAAAGTCATCTAGGTGCCTGCCTAAGGCAGTACTCTGGATGCCCAGAGGCAGAAACGTAATAGGAACTCCTATAGCACAAATATAGGTGCCAAGTGAATCTAGGAATCTTCAAAGTTAGGTGGCAGCTAAGCAATGGTTTTGTTGATCAGAGTAGTGTTTTGGGTGCCTAAATCCCTCTCATTTTTTATATCTGTTTCCTGGTTTCCCTTTATAAAAGAACATAGGGTTTTTCTGTAGAGAGTAGGTCATGGAAACTTTCTTGTAGTTCAAGGGGAATACATACATGTTTTGGAGCTGTAGAACCAGCTTTTCAGTTCCAAATCTGTTGATTTCTGACTTATAATGGAGAGATGATATCCTCTTCACAGGTCAGACTAATTTTGTTCATCTGTTAATTAAAAGAGAGAGTGAAATGATAATACCTCCAATTTTGTCAATGTTATTTAACTCCCAAAGCAGAATGTTTCCTAACATTTTTTAATAATTTGAGTAAATATTTTTGAAGTTAAAAACCTTAGGATTTCAGATATTTTTAAAAAGAGCAAAGTGTCTCATATCTTTGTTCCAGTTTTTTCCTATCTTTGTGTTTCTTCATCTGCCTATGAAATCACACTACCATCAGATCTGAAATATTGGTGGATTTTGACACTGGCTTACAAAGCAGGTTTTAAAGGCAAGGGAGCAAACTGCTTAGAAAATTACATCTATGGGTTCAAAATATCTACAGCTTTTTATCATTAAAAGCCAACAAAGAAAAAAAATGTGGAGAATCCTTTTGTTGTTCAAAATGGTTTTGAAAATACTTTTCAAAACTGAAAGGGAACTCCAAGACCTAGTCAAATGACTGCTCTCTTGCATTCCTTTTTACCTTTGAGAATTATATGTAGGTTCCGAATTGGAATTCCACTTCATACATGAAAAGCCTTAATAAACTTCTGGCCTTCACAACCCTTACTTAGTGTCTGTTCCGACCATTTCCGAAAGACTGCTATTGTTACCCCTATTTTCCAGTAAGGTAATGGAGAATTTAAGCAACTTGCCATGTGCCACAGAAGAAGTCTGTTGTAGATCCAGGAAAAGAAATCTAACCTCTGATGGAGTAAATTGTTGTTCTAGATACTAGATAAGAGTGCCTCTCTTACAAACTGCTTCTAATCTTGCTACTTAAAACAACTATAAAATCAGGGTAACAATGCTTACTCACTTTCATAAAGAGCTTTGAGACTTAATAATGAAACATCTCAGCAAATGCTAAACATTATTTTTCAGCTGTGGCAATTAAAATATAGGGGGAATACAGGCAGTCCCCGGGTTACGTACAAGATAGGGACAATAGGTTTGTTCTTAAGTTGAATTTGCCGCTGCTGAAACTGATCAGCGGCTGACTACAGGAAGCCCTAGGCAGAGTTGCTCTGCCCCCGGCTTCCTGGAATCAGCCGCTGATCAGTTTCAACAGTGGCTGAATCTGGACTCCTAGGACAGAACAGCTGGGGCACTGCCGGGTAGGTCCCCGCAGGACCAACCCGGCAGCACCCCAGCTGTTCTACCCCAGGCGCCACAACAAAAGCCTGGTCTGCTGGGGGAGGGGCGCGCACTAGCTGCTGCCCCCCCCCCCCCCCGCCCCAGAGCGCAGTGGTCCCGCCACCGCATCCTCCGGGGCGAGAAAAGCTGCTCCGGGTTCCCCTCTGGGCTGGGGGCGTCCCCCCCAGCACAGCAGGGAGACCCGAGCAAAACCGCACAGGCGGGGGGGGTCCTCCGCCTCTGCGGCTTTGCTCGGGTCTCCCTGCTGTGCTGGGGGGGACTCCCCCAGCACAGCAGGGAGACCCGAGCAAAGCCGCACAGGCGGCGGGGCCCCCCGCCTCTGCGGCTTTGCTCGGGTCTCCCTGCTGTGCTGGGGGGGACTCCCCCAGCACAGCAGGGAGACCCGAGCAAAGCCGCACAGGCGGCGGGGCCCCCCGCCTCTGCGGCTTTGCTCGGGTCTCCCTGCTGTGCTGGGGGGGACTCCCCCAGCACAGCAGGGAGACCCGAGCAAAGCCGCACAGGCGGCGGGGCCCCCCGCCTCTGCGGCTTTGCTCGGGTCTCGCTGCTGTGCTGTATCCTATTCGCTGCCTTTAAAGTCCTGGGTCGGGACCCGGAGAGGGGGGCGGGCCTGAGTCCCCCTCCTTCCTTGCTGCACACTAGCCAAGCGAGTCCCACGGGACTCGGGCGTACTCACAGAAATCACTAGTTGACTGGTGGATGGAGGAATCTGGGAACGGGGAGCACCAGGATTCGCGGAAAGGACA